TTGGCGGTCTGTACAGTCATCCTCATGAAGTTCGAGTCTTCGGTATCGGCAAAGTGGCCACCCATCTTCTTGATATAGTGGTCTAGCTTCCCACTGACATCGTCATCACTGTCTATGAGTTCGAGATCCGGAGTAGCTAGTCCAGCGAAGATCGCAGGATCGATGTCCGCGTTCTGCGCTGTCTGCGTCTGCTGACATTTCAGCGGCGTGAAAGTAGCAAAGATACCGGAATGAGGGAAGTGGGTTGCTTCTATGCGCCCTGGAGTCTGATCGAGCCGTATCTGGCCCTTGGCTTGATTCGTTGCATGGAATGCTAACACGCTATGAAGACCTGCAGAGTAGAGACCGAACTCCTCTGCAATCCTTGTCCTGATACATGGCTGCTTCCATAATCGCGCACTCTCGACGTTCTGACAGGTGTTGCATGGGTTGTCGCCCGAACATGGCTTTTTGAGCATGCGACACCGAATGCACGCACCTCGCTTGCGCACCTCCTGTACTTCTTTCCGTCTGGAGTCTGTGAAACGTCCCCTGACCTTGGGCTTAGCCGGCTTCTGGTTCATGCTGAAGTCGGTGGTGAAGTGGGTCTGGTTGCCTGGACTCATCGCAAGTGGTCGTTGATGGCTCATTCCCTTATTTAACTGGTCGTTCGCGTGCATCTGGTCTTTGCCATGGTCTTGTAGCATCGGGTCCAGTGAGTTGGGCTGTATATTGGGCCAATGTCCTCGTCCTTGGGGATGGAAGAACTTGCCGTCTGACATACCCTGCATACCATGCGCTGAGAGATTCATGTCCGACTCCATAGGCATACCGTTTGACAGCGGCATGAGGTCATTCGCTGCTGATGCTGCCATGACGAGAGACGGAACCATGTGCGACATCGATCCAGAGCTTGACAGAGGCATATGACCCATGTGTGGTGAGGCAGTTGGAGAGTGATGCAACGACCCATTGAACTGGTACATGGAGGGCATTGCTGGCGCATGCGACATGTCCATCCCATGTGAGAGGCCGCCCATATCAGAGCCATCGGGCCGATCATCCTGTATCAGAAATTCTTCCAAAAGCCCCGCATGGCTCGCATTGTTGTTGTGGTTGTGGTTGCCATGGTTGTTGTGGGCCTGCGACGGCTGCTTCTCTGCCATGCGCTTCCCAGAGAGGTCCAGATGTTGTCGCGACACCTCCGCCAGCGTCTCAAGCGCAGACAGCTGCTTCGACGGCGCAAAAGGAAGGTTCATCTTCTGGCCATGCGGCATCTGGCTCGGTCCGGGTGCGTTGGTGGTGGCCGTCTGCGTCATATTGTCGGGGAGTGGCAGCTCGTGCATCTGCAGCAGCGCGCGCTGGCGGTCTTGAAGCGGTAAAGCGGGACATTTCTTAACGAGATGATTCGTGAGGCTGTCTATGCGACCTTTGGGAAACTGCCATGTGTAAGCTATCATTGCTCACTCTACACCGTCAACTTTTTTGCCGAGCGGGGTCACTCACCTTTTCGCCGCACGACTTGCACGTGTGCTGGTAGCGGTTGCTTGCATCTTCCAGCTTGGGTCCGCGCTCGAAGTACTCGAGAATCAACTGGTTGGGTCGACGACCCATGATGGGCCCAAAAGTTGCGTTCAATTGTGTGGTGGGTGACGAAAGATTACTGCCGGAAGTATTTGGCGGTCAGTAGCCGGCGGTCCAAGAAAGCTGAGGTCTGCTATGGTTGGTCGGTCCGTTAGCCCTCGTCTGACATCATAACCCATCTTTCATTTGAGCTTCATAAATATCACTACTGCGCCAGCGCTATGACTAGATGCCTGAAATTGATCATTGGCAATCATTTTCACGCATCTGAACGATGCGTCGATGGTTGAGTGCTGACAGCGTCCAGCTCGCGCATCTTCAGCAGGAGACCACACGTCACAAGCCGCAAACTCACTAAGCCAACGAGATGAATAGAGCGCAGGTGCATAGACGCACATAATGCATCACTGTATGCCACGCTTCGGCCTCGAAAGATCATGGACGCGTTCCTGACTAGAGACCCTACTAACCAGGATGCAACGCGCCCTGCATGCGTATACATACGGAGCGAGTCAGGAGACGTCGATGCATCCATCCGGTCCAAGATCAGCTAGGCTTTTGTCATGACCGCATGATCACAATGGCGATTTCGCTCCCTTGGTCTTTCTTTTTGGGTAACGAAATCATGACGTCCGCACTAGTCACGCCAAGTCAAGTAGACTGGAATATGGACTACGACATCGACATATCCGGATACATGTAAACAAATTCCTAATCCATATCTACGCCTAAGACCTCCCATCCGCCCTATGCAAACAACTTTTTGAACCATCAAAATGCCGGCAACAAAATCCCCAGCCGCAAACCCAACCATCACACCCGATCCATCTCAGAACGGCTCCACGATCCGCAAAGCCTTTCTCCTCGAAGCCTTCGCCAATCTCTTCACCATCCCGCTGATAACAAACACGCGCTGGACGCTCTCCCTGCTCCTCAACAACCCCTCCCGCGATATCAATCCTACTTCAGTCCTCTTTGCTCGTCTGTGCGGCGGTTTAATCGTAGGCGGTCTAACATCCGCTTTACTCGCCGGCGCGACCAATACGCGCAATGGAATCGAGAGCCGACGACCTACGTATATGCTCTTGGGGCTCGGAGAGGCGGCTTTGATCCCAATGATCGTTTTGGATTTGTTGGAGGGAGGGGGACCGGGTGCAGCGCTGAGCAAGAAGGTCGCTGCAGTCAGTGTGGCGTGTTTGGTGCCGCCGCTTTTGTGGAGGCTGTACGTGCTTTTTGTGAGGCCGGATTTGCTCGGTCGGTACACGGAGGAGAAGACGGGTGACGGTGCTGCGAGGAGGAGTGACGGATGTAAGTATTGTGTGCGGAATGGGCGAAAGTGTACCGCTGATCTGATCTAGATGGTGCTATTAATACCCGGGAAGACTGAGATGGTGATAAGCCATGAAAGTGGCATCTCATTCCTTGCAATGCTCTTTTGAAGTTCGGTGTCTTGTAGATTGCTTTCCGAATTATAATACTTTTCCATGCCCTATGTGCAGGACGAATGTTCCATAAACGCCTCGCTGAAATCATATGCAATGTGTCTCTCAGACCTTCAGATGGTATAGTGCTTAGTCTGCGAAGCCTCCCCACTCCGCCTCGGAATCTTCGTCATCCTCAGCCTGTTCTGTCATCTCCACCTCCTGCCCCCTCCAAGCTCTTAACCTATCATCAGCCAAAACCTCTTTCGCGGCATTCCTCAGCGTCTTCAACTTGCCCTCCTTGGCCATCCTCTCAATCGGCAACACCAGAGTCTCCACCGTCTCCTTCTTATCCTCCTTCTCCCACGCCTCTCCCTCAACCTTCTCCATCTCATCGACCCAAACATCCATGACATGGTATCTCAGTCCATTGGGGATCCTCATGTTCCCGCACTCCAGCGGGGTCTCCTCCACAACGGCATTCCATTGTTCAACCAAGCTCTTCTTCCATTTTTTATTGCTGAGGAAGGTGAATGACGCGTTTACGTATTGGCGGATGAGGTAGAGGTATTTGTCTAGTCGGAGCGCTTCGATGCGGGTCCATTCGCGGGACATGGTGAGGAAGAAGGCGCGTATGAAGGGGAGTACGACGGGAGTTCGGAGAGCTGAGACGAGGGAGGCGAGGTCGCGCGATAGGCCTTGCTGGAGGGCGGGCTTGTCTTGCATCCATAGGCCTAGTAGTTTATTGTTAGCCTTTGCAGGATGGGCTGCGAAGTGCCATGGGGAGATCTTCCAAGCCAAGCCACAAGGAGCGCGTACAGTAGAAGAGCCCTTTCCATAGCTTCAGCAGGTCTAGTTCTGATATCTCTGATTGTGCGCCGAGGTACGTCTTGAGTGAATCGAGTGCATTGTCGCGAACTTTCTTGTCTGTCGCAAACGTTAGTCTCGGGATCGAAAGCCTCTAACACATATTGTGCTCATACCGCTAGAAGCAAGGTTCCTTATAAAGGGGTTGTTTTGCGCGTCTGAAGCCATAATGTGCTATGTGATGTTGCAACGATGTCTTTGCTGTGAGGCCTGACATGCGGGCCGAACTTTTTTTGGAGGGCTCATGGATGCCGCTAAGATAGCGATAAGGCACCACGGCCGCGCCACATGCACATTAGCGCACGTAGGAGCACTTTGAAGAACACGCGCCAATCGGGTACCGCAAATCACTGCTACGCATCCTTGTGGCTAGAATCATGCTTGAAGAGGTTCTGTGTGCTAACTTTAGGGGTTGCGTTCTGGAGCGCGTTAGGACTAGATCTACTGCCGCAGCCTAGGAAATTCGTCTTACAGTTTTACCACCTTCCACGCGTTGCACTTAATGCGGCATCTAAACGACTTCTCCGTCCAACTCTTTTGCAAGGTTCTTAGAACATCTAGGAAGAATTGTAGATCTATACATTACTGCTTAGGTATTGCTTTGTTAAATGTGCTAGTGCAGAAATGCGGGCACAACGCGGTTAAGTAACACAGTATTTAATCGCAATGCAGGTGTATTTCCTAAACACCTTGTTTCACAGTTACTGCTTAGGTATTAAAGTGCTAGCTAGTTAGATCAAAAGCTCTAAAGTAAGCTAGTACAAACTAAGTAAAACGTGTTAGCTGTACTGTCTGTGCGCATACTTACTAAGCATTGCTTACTTCTCGTTACAGTTACGCACTAATTCTAGCAGCTAGGTGCCTAACTTCACTTTCCTAACAGCGTAAAAGCAAACTATCTAACAAAAACTATCTACGTTAGTAATCTCTTCTACGTACTAGTATTGCTAGAATCTAGGATTGCCAGCTAGTCTACTGTCTTCTAGGTATGTAACCTGTTTGTCACCTACGCGGCGGCGCAGCCTACCTATTTATCTAGCAACGCGGCATTTGTTCTATACACAGCTCGGATCTATCACAAAAGATCCCGAACATGCCGGGCAAGCCGAGAGAAGGCTAACGCGATGCAGTCGCAAAGGGATGCCATCCATGGTCGTGATCCCGGCCAACGGACACGAAAGGCGCCGTGTCCTAGTAGACCGCGTAAGTACATTCCAAACCTCGGTCGCACGCGTTTTAATACTAAAACTACCTTTAGGTGCACTCTATTGTGTCAAATCGCGTTCACAACGGCGTTAGTATCACTTCACCCCAAGTGGTCCGTGCGCGATACTGATATCAGGGTCTAGGACGAGCAATATCTGGTACGATGGACATCAGACACATCGACCACGAAACCACCACTCAGCTGGCACTCTGTTAAGGACTTAGTGCGATGCCTAGAGCAGATCCAAGACTACCTTGAAGTGAGAGAGAAGTAAGCGGCATCTCAGTACTAGCTTTCGGCATCTTACTAACCTATCTAGGAACCTACCGCTACCTTCAGACGTAAAACCTTCGAGGAAAAGAAAGAGTCCTGATGGTGGTTCATCGTACGAACGCCGCTCTTCACCCTTCGATCGACGACTACAAGAGAGTCGTACGCCGTCAGCCTCTCGGTCTTCATCCGTGTCATCTGCGGCAACAGTCACGTCTCCAGCCAGTGATATATACAACGGCGTTTTGGATGCTGATCAATATGGTCATGTATTCTGCAGACAGGTGAGTCTTGATAGCGAGCTTTCCCTCATCTGCTTCACTGACATGCGACAGGCCTCGGGTCCAGACGTACCCGAACTTGACATTTGCACCGTACCCACGCCAGAGATGAACCTCATTGCGCATCGTTCGAGTGTCGACAAAGCACTTATGTACATCCGCAATGAGTATGTCCGGAGACTAGCGAAAGTACCAGGCAAACCCATTCACTTGTTCAATGTGGTCGACAAAGCCACTCCCTCACTGCGCTTCCGGTACATCTCCGAATATGTTCTAGATGAGCAACAAGGTGTCTACCGCGCGTCACTAGAAACACAGCAAGGCTGCCTACAGTGTTCACCCCACATGGGTCGTGGCATCGGATGCGAATACACAAAGAAGTGTGACTGTCTGGAATACGCTGCAGTGGATGAGAGCCGCCTCGATGAAGAAAGAAAGCGGGAATACCAACTTGCGCTCGAAAACGGAGATTCAACAATGGGCTTTCCGAAGAAATTCCCTTACTTCGCCGAAGGCACGAAACGAGAGAAGACCGGCTGTCTCGTACCCTTTTACCTCAACTCCCGTCGTCCAATCTACGAGTGCAATGATAAGTGCAACTGCGGCCCTAATTGTCGCAACAAGAACGTTCAATTCGGGCGTCAGGTCGAAGTGGAAATCTTCAGAGCGAATGACGGGCGTGGCTGGGGTCTCCGCTGCAAACAAGATCTCCACGAAGGCCAGTTCATCGATACCTACCGTGGCGAAGTCATAACAGATGCCGAAGCCACACGCCGCGAAACCTCGTCGTCAAAAGCCAAAGCGTCTTACCTCTACTCCCTCGACAAGTTCGCTGAGTCAGAAGGCCTCAAAGAAGAAGATCTCTACGTTGTAGACGGCGAGTTCATGGGCGGACCAACCAAGTTCATCAACCACTCATGTGACCCTAACTGTCGGCAATATACCGTGTCATACAACAAGCACGACCCGAGAGTTTATGACATCGCGTTCTTTGCACGGAGGTTCATTCCAAAGGGCGAGGAATTGACGTTTGACTACCTTGATAAGGAAGAGGGGGAGGAGATGGATGAACCGGGTGAGGGGGCGCTTCCTTGCCTCTGTGGGGCGAAGAATTGCCGCAAGTGGCTGTGGACGTGAGGATCGTGCCGTACAAGCGCACGCGACATACTACAAAGTTTAGGCTGGCGTGTGAGAGAAGGGTGGAGGGCTATCAGACTGATGGGGGGTTATGTTCATGTGACGGCTGCATTGCTCTGCATCAGCGATGAGCGTTCTGGCGTCTGCATTTTCATTTTGTCAACTATGATACAAGTCCATATCATTTTATCCTTTCAGAAGCCTTGTTTCGTGTCCAACGTTGTCTTTGTCCATGCTGATGGGTAGGCGCAACTAATCGCCCACGCTTTTCGTCTATCAGTATCGTCTAGACTGAACCACCAATTGCATCACTAACTTGCTTCCTGAACTACACCCATCACACCGGCACACAGCTACATTGATCATGATCGCCTAGAACACAGCATAGGTGTAGGAAAAAGTGGGTGCGGGCCGGTAAGTTACCCGGTAGCACAGTTAGCGCTCGGACCACCACCCACGCTCGCACCGAGAACCATTCAGTCTCTTGACCCCCAACTGCAATTTTCCGCCCCATCTACTTTTTTATTTCTCTTCGTAATGAAGCCTAGCCTGCCTAACGAGGTAGACCGCGAGGATACGCCTGATCCGCCGGTGGTGGATTACCTTGACCGACTCCGAGATGACCTGTTGGAACGACTCCGTTGGGACGTTTTCGGCTCGTTGAACGACATCCAAGTCAAAGATCCTGGAAATGCTCTCACGCCCTTCATGGGCGCCAGCATCGCCTCAGAGTCCTTGGCAAGTCCCCCGTTCACCAAAATCTCGGTCTACATCGACGTCTGCGAGGAGAAACGCAACATGGACGAGCAAGAGGAGGAAGACCGATATGCTGCCCCAGAGCCGCTGATCATCGACAAGGAGGATGGCTCTTCTATATCTCTACATGATTTTGTCTCGCAAGTCCACTCATACCTCAATGTCAATAAGGAAGAGATTATGCAATGCGAAGACGAACTGTACATGAACCCGGTGGACTTGGGCGACGGTGTCAAAGCGGTGGAAGTCGTCCCTGATGATGATGACAGGGACTGGGCAGATGGATCTGGAGAAGACCACGAGTTCAGTCATTTCCTTCGAAGCGGCAACATCCCAGAAGGAAGTCGAGTCTTTTTCGATAGGGCTATGATCAACCAAATCGACCAGGACGAATATAGTATTCACGTGGTTCTCTTCGTTGAGGGCAATGATGGAGAAACGCTGGATTCGTTTTGGGAAAGGAAAAACAGGCCGTAGCAGCTCACCAAGACCAAGCAGAGTCAGCGCTAACAGCGACCGTTCCCTTTCCTGCCTAAGTCAATGCCCTGAATCGTGGCGCTAACGGTGTGCTGAGCGACAGGCAGTCGAAGGCCCTATTCAGTGCGGACCAGGAAACCCTTGTCTTGACGGCTCCTGCTGTACGTATCCCCATTGTCATATATCCAAGAACTGTGCTAACATGAACGTCCTTTCTAGGTAACTCTGACGGTGTTTAGAATCCATTTCTCATCCTTGCTCGAGTCACAACTAATCCCGTCGCTCAAATTATAGGTAAATGTGGTTTCACATCGAACAATTGTGGCGAGAAGTGTATCTCCAATTACGATGCGATAGCAATTTGTGGAATTGATTCAGCTGATAGACAGACTTCATGTGGCTTGAAATTATGTTGCTCTTTCTACGGCCGGTGTAGTACAGAAGAAGTACATTGTAAAGATCCCGAGCCTCAGTATGGTAGGTACTACAAAACACACACTCGGCGCGATGTTTGAAGCCACTGCTTATCAATGGTAGGTAAATTGCCTTGCCAGGCTGGCTTTGGCTCTTGTGACATCAAACCTTCCCCATCATGTGGGAAGTCCTCTGGTACCGCCAAAGGCCGCCCAATTGGCTATTATCAGGGATGGCTGAACCGACAGTTGCATCACTGACTTGCTTCCTGAACTACACCCATCGCACCGGCACACAGCTACATTGATCATGATCGCCTAGAACACAGGATAGTGCGTCGTACTACAATGCTCTGCCACTCATCAACTGACACGTATCAAGTCTCGAACGACTCTGACATCAAGTCTCCGAAAAAGTACCAGTGAACCCCGCAGTGGTCTACCACACGCACCAAAGTCCTCGAGATTTAGCCTCGTGTCAGGCCAAGGGGGGATGCAGGACCTCACTTCAGCGGGTCAGGAACCAAAGTCTCGAGTCGACTCAATGTGCGCGGTCTTCGCTTTTGGCCATGCCACCCCAGTGATCTCGCCGTGGAAATGCGCTTCGGTCGCGGAGTGGCTATCTTGGGCTCGCATTCCAAGGACATAGACCCTCGAACTGTAATTAACGAGGATGACAACGGCCAGCAATCTCTCCTCAAGATGTAAGTGGTGATAGCAAGCTCCGCGTGCCAAGTTGCGGTCACTAAGCCATGACACATGGAGAAAAAACAGTGTAGTTCATAGCATACGCCGTGAGGTACCTGAAGGCTCAGCCCACCCATCTGGAACTTGACCATTATGATGATCTTGATGTTCACGCGACCGGCCCCGCGGCACCTGACAGTGTGGTTTCGGTACACGGCTACGTACCCGAGATCGCATTCGCTGACAAGTGGATTATACTTTGGTAAATAGATCCGAAACAGTAAATTAGAAGCGCTACTATTGGGCGAGACGGTTGCATTGTGACTATCGTGCAGTCGTCACATATAGCGCCGTGATCACCCGTCTTTGCACTGACACGTAGGTATCGAAATATCTGGTACGAGAAAAAAGTAAAACGATCTGTCTGCACCGTGTAAGCCTCGATATACGTCAGTTGAGCATGTACATGCCTATTAAATCCGCAAGTTGTACCCAGTCAGGGTCTCTCTACATATCACAAGTCTACGTTCAAGATTGCGCAACCAAAGCACTTCCTTAACAGTGACTCCGGTCTCACTGTGCCACCATAACCTCGCTGCAACACCGACATGCAAATGTTCGCAACCATTCTAGAAAAGCTGCGGCTTATTCCCAACACAACAAACGAGGGGAAGACACAAAACGAAGAAGGCATACCATACGTCCAACTCAACGACGAATACGACACAACCCTCCGGTTATCATGGACAAACGATCCAAAGAAACTGTACTTGTCTGCGTGTTTCGACCCGAAGCGGGAGGCGAATGTTGCAAAAGACTACAACATTGAAGGTCTTTGTCCGGTGGTCAAAGAAACCAAAGGCGATGAATTCATCTTACGGGACAACGACGGCCGGTATTATCTCTGGGACGCATGGGTTGGTGAGTTGATGAAGTTCCGGGATTGGTGGATCGAAGGCTTCACGACAAAAGAAGAGCTAGTGGAGAACCTGGTGTGCAACATGACAGAAGCGCAAGCGGACGTGGAATTCATCGAGCGGAAGCGTAGAGACAGTGTGGTAGACTAGTTCTACCCTGCATCTTGTAGTCGACTTGAAGATCGGAATCGGGATGCATGCGAGGCGACGCGGGGCGAGGTTGGGAGAAAGATGTAGTTTAAACTTTAAGCGACGTCGTCGGGAGCCAATGAAGAATGAGGACCCTGACCCACCATTTTTCGTGCCCCATTTTGCTGGTCCGTGACTCCGACGCAAAGGGACTACCACTGATAAAAGCGTCGACGCGGTGATCGTCGCCTGCCATGCCGATACCTGACTGAGACGCGTATTACACGGAAGGGTTCTGCTAGCCTGAAATCTCTCTAATCAAACAACAACATGCCTCAGTATCTCGTCCGGCTTGCGCAGGCGCATGAGAGTTTTCGCAAAGTCGAACTGCAAGCGCTAGCCGATATTGCGGGAGTGCCTTTACAGTTCGTCAAGTATGAAGAAGATGTAAGTAGCTTTTCTTTAACCCAGCAGTCTTACTGTCTCAACTTCGTCAGTCGCGTCTCTCGCAGTGTTGTTTTGGTTCAGATTCCGAAAAAGCAATCCCAGTGTCGCGTCACGCCCTACAAAAGCATACATTTCTGACGATCAAAGTCACCCTACTGCATTGTCGATCTGCCGTCAGAGGCTGCGGCACGAAAAGCCATCGCACGGAGCATCCTCGCACAGGGCATCTACGAGCTATGGGGCCAGGGATCAACATACGACGCCCTCCACGACTCCGTCCGCAGTCTGACCACATCCTGGTGGCCGCAGTACATTAACGCATCTTTCCGCTTTACCATAGAAGGCTATCGCGGCAGTAGATCAAACGATGAGCAGCGCGACATCATCGACAGTTTCTCCTACATGGCCTTCAAGGGACCACCGCGGATGCGAAACCCAGATGTCGCATTCCGTGTCTTTGAAGACTACGATCTTAATGTTAAGAAGCCCAAGTACATTTACTTTGGTCGCTTCATCGCCGATTCATGTCGCAATGAAGCCAAGAAGACATTTGACCTCAAGAAGAGACATTACATCAGCACTACATCGATGGATGCCGAGCTCACACTGCTGACGGCTAACATCGCACACGTGGCACCGGGGAAGTTGTTTTACGACCCTTTCATGGGCACGGGCGGCTTCCCGATAGCATGCGCTCACTTCGGAGCAGTAGTGTTTGGGAGTGACATTGACGGCCGCACTATCCGCGGCCTAGGAGGCAGCGCAAGAAGGGGACAGACGGGGAAGTACGACGTCGTCGGTAACTTCAAGCAGTACGATTTAGAATCCAGCTACCTAGGCGCCTTCGTCTCCGACCTCACCAACACCCCACTGAGAATACCGCCACCCAGCAAACATCACACGACAGGCTACCTCGACGGCATCGTATGCGACCCACCCTACGGTATCCGCGAAGGCCTCAAAGTGCTAGGATCCCGGCAAGCGCTACTCGACATAGAACGCCAAACGCACCAAGACCAATTCAAAGAACCCGGGTACATACCCCCGAAGCGGCCCTACTCCTTCACCGCACTGCTCGATGACATACTAGCCTTTGCAGTCGCAACACTAGTCCCCGACGGCCGAATCAGCATGTGGATGCCCACGGCGAATGACGAGGACATCGAGCTCATCA